CTGCCAGAACCTGCCCGCTCGGGTGCTTCAGTGCGGCAGAAACCTGGCTGAGTACGGTGGTTCAGCTCTCATTCTTCATGGGCGTGTTTTCTGTTACCTTGGAAAATATTTTGCAATTGTGCAAATCAAGAGGAAAATACCTACCTTAAGGACAGAGGGATTTGCATGCAGGCAGCTATACAGAAAAGTATGAGGGATTTAGCTCTCATGGTGCTAACTAGTAAGTATTATATTCAGTAACTCAGCATTCATACACGTTTTCTTGCTTAATACACTGATAATGAAAAATACTGTGTTCTTTAAATACAACCTAGGTAGCAGAAAGGCATTTCTTTGTGTGTGACAAAGATGGCAGTCTCTAATACGAGAGACACTTGAAAATCCTCAAACTGCATAATGTTTTTGATATCCACAGTGTTACATAACTGAGCTATGTCTTGAATTTAAGGATTATTCTAGGGAGGAACCAGGCTGCCACATACTCTGTGGTCCTTCAGTGAAGTGTCTGCGATAACTGTGGTAGATTTGAATGATGTGAGTTGGAGTCGCAGCTTCATGGAAGCAGCAGCCAGCGCTTTCTTCTGCCTTTCCCTCAATCTGACCCATGTTTCCCTCCTCCCCTGAAAAGGAGGCCAAACAGACAGCAACAGCACTAAGCATGGCTGTGGAAGAAAAGATATGTGACTGTTGTCTTCAGTCTCTTCTCGGCTAGGAGAAAGTAGGCTTGTGGCCCTTGGTGGACTGTCTTCTCTGGCTTTGAGGGTAATCAGAAGCCGTTGTCATATATGGCAGCAAGTTTAACAACTGCTGGCATTGAAAACAAAAGGGGCCCCCCAAATTAGCAGTGTTCCTTTTTGGTAGGCCTATTTAGAAAACAACATCATACCCGTTTGCTCAATTTGCATGTCTGAAAGGCTTCTGTTCAGTTAATTGGTTAAATTAATTTCTGCTGTTGTAAACAGAGAGCTGTATTAAGAGCAGAACTAAAGTAATCTTACTTTACATTATTCTGTGTCATGGCACATCTTTTCTTTCTTACTGCAGGCAATTCATTTTGTGGTGCTGTCAAATAATATTTTGTGTCATCTTCAGTCAATGTAGCTTTTATGAGTTTCGCTGATATTTTAACAGTTTATTTAGTCCTCTAGATAATGGTCAATGGCCTTGAGTAGTCAAATTAACACCTCAGCGGCACTATATTTGAGCAAACCGCTAACGGTAACCTCAGGATGAAAAGCAATGAGAATCAATATAGCAAGCGTATTTTAGGGATTATTGATTGATTGATGCGTTCTGGCTGTAACTTGAAGAGGCAGCATTGCCCCACAGCTGACTAAGATTAAGTTGCCAGTTACTGGTAACTGCAGGCCATTGCCTGTGTGGTATTTCATGAGCTCGGAGATGAGATGGAGACCTTTTATAGTCCTTAGCTGAAGAAACTGTGGCGTTCACGGGGTCTGTAATGCCTACCCGGCTGCAGGAAAACTCTATGCTTCTCCGGCTTATACCAGCCGTTGTCGTGAGGATTGGAGACGATGTTGATTTGATTCAGCACTGCCCGTTATTCCTGTAGGGATCTGTTTGGGACAACTGAGGCACTAATGGCTTGTCTCCCCCCACTCCACCCCCCGCTCCGAAGGCAGCTCCGCAGAAGGTGGGAGCCATGTTAAGCTGTGCTGCTGTCAGCAAGCTGAGAGCTGTGGGTCTCCCCGCCACAACTCTCAATTGCTAGCAGGTTTCTCTCATTGCACCTCATTTGCATCTGGGACATCAATTAGCATGTTTGTTGAGGCTAATTGAATGAAACTCAATCATAGCTCTTAATTGCTTGACTATGTGAAAAGAAATCACATTAATGCAGCTAATTAAGTGTATGGCAATAGATGCAACATAATTAGGAGTGAAATGTAAAAAACAAGTGATGGCGAAGGTGCAAGCGCAGGCGTGCAGGGGACTGGGGGGCTGGCTTCCCCTGTTATCCTCACGTTTGGGGAGGGTTCCCTTCCCTTTGCTGCGTGCTTTTTTTTTTTTCCTCCCCTGCGTTGCTGAATGATGAACATGGACAAGTTGAGAAGAAAAATGCAAATGGATTTGCAATTACTACTTTTTCAAGCTGTTGAGGGGCAGAAGATGGCACTTCTGGGGTGGCCCACTGTTGAGTGGGCTCTAGGGACTTGTTAAGTGCTGTTTAAAAGTACTTGGCTTTGAATTACCCTCATGCCTTGTTAAAGGGTTTTTTCCCCCTTTTTTCTTGGATCAGCATTTTCTACAACTAACATCTAGGGGAGTTATATCTGTAACATTTGCATATCAAAATCAGACTTGCTGTCTTCTCTTTAACACAGCATATTCCAGATGACAGCAAGACCCTCATCTGTTCTAATCTGATCAAACCCTCCATTGCACTTCTGAAGCTGCGACATTATTTTGTAGTTTTAACTTTTATTCCCCAAGTGCAGATCTGAAGGAGCGTGCGTGGGGGCGGATGCTCCGCCGACTGGAAACTTGGTGCTTGCTTCTCCTCCTCGGGGAAATGCAGAGATTATCGCTGTGCATCTTGCACACAATGAAAAGAGGCTTTATTATTTACATTTGATATATCCCTATAAATATTTAAGCTGACATTAATACCTATGTGGCATCTGTTGTGTTTGGGCACTTTCATATAATAACGGTATGGCTACAGAGCATTTATTTCTTGTTTGCCAACATTCACTTACTCTCTCTTGAATGGTTTATAGCTCACCTAAGCCTGGTTTACTGTCAATTAAAAGGGTTTCAATAATGCCCTGTCATATCTCACAAGTTGGCAAGGTAGCAGGGAAATTGTACACGCTATTCATCTGAAGAATTTGGAATAAACACCTCCTTCTCAGATTTAAATGGGAGTACACTGGTTGATGTACATTAAACAAAACGTGTCTATTAAAAAGAGTACACGCTGAGGTTTAGTCACTCTGATTAAGCTTCATTTTGGAGCCCATAAGCAATAAATGCTCAATTATGTTCTGCTTATTGTATTTTAATTTGTGAAGAACTGACACTGAACAAGTTATGCCAACTTGATAATTTATGGATGAAACTGTTTTGTTCATTTCTATCTAACGCCTAGTGAATGAATTTTTATTAATGGATCGCCTTTGTTTCTTTTTGCAGCAGAGCTCTGTGTCCTCACCCCATGAATTGTTCAGACCCCCCCTTTTTACTCTTAATAATTCTCAAACAGCTAGGGAAAAATAAGCTGGTTTGATGGCTTAGTTTTGGGGTTTTATCACAGATTAACGTTAGCTGTGAAGAAATGAATGCTGGTCCAGCAGTACATTCTTGTGTTTTGAGCGGAATATATAATTTGTATTGTAAAAACTGTCAAAGGTGGAAGGATTTTTGAGGGAGCTGATTGCTCCCCATATTGTGACAGCAGTCACGTAGACATCAGGTACACTTTTTGTGCATTCCTGTATTTACTTGTAAAATTAATGCTCTGTTGGTGTATAGGTCTGTACGCTGCAGGTTTGGAACCAACCTAGTTAAATATCGGTAATCTTTCATATAACACCTTGTAATCTGGCTAAACCTTGCCCTGGACACCTGGGCAACTGGGGGTTATGTCTTTGCTGGCAGTCTTTGCTCATGCAGACGTCCACAGTATCACCCACGCCTCTCTAAGTTGATCAAGTTCTATCTGAAAAGGAATTAGATTTTGTGCCCCAGCTGCTCCGCATAGAAGATTGATCAAGAATACCATTCCCTTGGTTTCCAGCTTAACTCAAGAGCTTAAGCCCAGATCTTTCCCAATCTTTAGTTCAAATTGTTGTTTTCCTCTTGGGGTACTTATACCCAGATATATTTTTGTGGAGTGCTCTTACCTCTTCTTCACTCTTTACTTTGCTATCCTCTGCTACCCACCTTGCGTGTCTTCTTGTAAAATAGAGTCTGTTTGTTTCTTATAGTGTCCTCATAGTTTGTTTCAATTATTTTCTTCTGGAACATGAGTAAATACAGCCACGTGTACCAGGAGATGACAACATCTGTGTACTGGCTTTAACATTCACCATCTCTACTGGAATATCTCTTCTGATATATCCCAGGATTGCAGCCTCAGTGTCTGTCTCACTTTTAATGAATTGTTATTTGCCCTCTGATAAAGACACCCATGTCTATTTGCTTTTCTGTTTTCATCTGAAGACACCCACAGACAATCTAGGGAATGCCTTTGAAGCTGGAAAGCAGAATCTCAAGAGCCTGTTTTTCCAGAAGCTATTTGCAGTTTGAAGAATTTCTCATGGCTTTCTCAGGAAGTGGTGGCTTGGCTCCAGTCAGTTGACCACTCACTGTCTTTCCACGGCTGACTGGGTTTGCTTATTTCCTCTTTGTGGGCTTTCCAAACAAGAATTAGGAAAAGCCTTTTCCACTTCTGACTTCCAGCTTTTAGTGTGTTTATTCTAATCAGACACCATTTGCATATTCTTTTTCCTTCTGTGACATTTTCTGTGTCTGGAGGAAGGATCGCGTTCTAAGGCATCAATGTTGTAATTGCAGAAACCTTGCCAGTCAGTAGCCTTTCATAACTTTTGTGCCTGCTGACCAATTTCAGCCAAATTTGAGGGAGAAAGAGGTAAGTGCATAAAAAGTCAGCAGAGAGGAGACACAAGTAAGTGTGCTCATGAGGGACTGTCAGCCTTGTCTTCTCCTTCTGTTTGGGACCTGCTAGCTGGTGAACTCCTACATGTGGCTCAGAACCAGCCACATTGTGAATTGCCTCTTACCCAACTGGTAGTTGGAAGATGTATTAGAAAACTCCAGGCTTTGGGGAGTATTTGTAGCAAAAAGTGTGGAAGGAATTACCAAGAAAATGGAAGGAAGGGAAAAACCATATAGTGAGTGCTGGCAGATAATGTAGGGCAAAAGTCTTATGAAACCAGGTTTCATTAGTTCTGTTGCTTACAGAACTACCTGTTTGATATTGGGTTTGGGGTTTGTTTTTCTTTTCCTCTTACCAGGACTATATGCAGAACGTTCATGGGAAAGAAATCGACTTGCTGAGAACCACTGTGAAAGTCCCCGGGAAGAGGCCACCCCGAGCTACATCAGCTTGTGCACCCATTTCCAGTCCCAAAACAAACGGCCTCTCCAAGGATATGAGCAGTTTACACATCTCGCCAAATTCAGGTAAGAGAATACCGTGCTAGGGAAAAAAGGGAAAGACTGCATTTCCAGTGTCTGTAGGCAATTGTCATGTACTACTGAGATGAGGATAACAGCTATTAATAATTTACAAATCCAAATAACCACCGATGTGTAACTTTTTAAGCCCTAACTGCTGATCTGTCCTCCATGAGAGATTCTAAGTTTCTGAGTGACCTTCAACATCTATCTTTTTGTATTTGTTACCTTATACTTGCCAAAGCCCTACATAATTTCACAGAAATTAACATATGTGAAGAATTGATGCTGCCTTACAACTGATCTGTTAGGTCTAATACTTTGGAAAAACAGGAGAAGTATAATTTTAAAGCACGCTTTGTGGCTTCCTGGTGGGTTCCACAGCACTTCTTTCCACCTTTAGAAGGATAGATAATTTTGGACTTTCCAACAAAAGATTCTTCTGTAGAAAGCTATTTTAGTTCATTTATGGAAGTAGTTTATAGCTCCTTGTGAGCTCTAAACAAAGAATTTTATTGTTCACTGGAGGAGTAGTTGTCCACACAGCTAAGTGGATTTAAAAAATTGCATTAAGGAAAAACATCGAAGACAATTTATCTTGTAAAGTGCACAGCTTACACAAAACTCATAATGTTGGTAAAGTGTTGGTATGGAAGTTTTGTCAGCATGTTTGAGATAACGTCCATAAAGTGCCTTTTGCATTTATGATTAAAGTAGACACTTGCAGCATGTGTCAACAAAACCATTCAAACACACTTTTGTTCCTGTGCAATACACACTACACAGGTAGGATGAGCCACCGCAGGAAGGAACTCAGTCACCCTGCTATTCAAGGGCCTTCTCTTGGATAGTAACAGTTGTCTTACGCTTCCAGTCAAGATGTAATTCCCTGCATTTTTGTGATGCACATTCCCCTGTATTAGGGGACGAGGGAGAAGGATTTTCCTTCCAACTGCAGATGCTGCTTGTTGAGTTGAATGTTTAAAAAAGGAAAACAAAAAGTCTTTTGGCTTTACAGTGGTGCCACTGAGCAGACATCCTTGGACATCTTGTGTGGCATGTTATATTAGTTTGGTTGGGGACCTGAAATGTCTGAAGCCATTGTGTTTATCAAACTCTTTTTCAAGTTGTAATCTACCCCTCGAGAGGCACAGAGCTGACATTGTCACTGGAAGAGTTCGTAGGAGAAAATTATTCATGGTTGGTTTGGTTTTGCTATTTAATTTAGATGACTGGGTGCAGGAAGTGTTTTTGCTTTTCAACGTATTCCATAATTTAAGGAAGAAAAGTGCTGAACTGAGTCAATAAACCAGTGCTAAGACATTTAAGTAAGAGACTTCTGCTTTGAAGACATCTGAACACAGGCAAAAATTACTTGATTGCTCCAGAGAAGTATGTTTCTGAAAACATATTCAGAGATACACACTAATATAAAATTTATAGCATGGAATTTACATGTTTTGGCATATGCTTAGATTTCCAGGTCAGAGGGGAACAACTTGTACATGACTTAAATATTGCACATTTCATTTTGTTTCAGGACTCTTTGCACATGTCATGCTTTCTTTACACAAAACTGTACAGTAGACGGCTCTCTCTGGCAGTGGTGGTAGCCACTGTGTGTTTCCTGCCTAGCCTAAGGTTTTGTTGCACAGCAGTTGTTTTAAAAGAGAAAAGTTAATTATGCTAGAAAGTGCAAATGCTGGAAAACAGCTCTGCTTTTAGATAGCATTTTTCAAATAATATGGTGGGAACAGTTGGAGATTCTGTCCTCTCTCTTGGTCTCTTTATCCTGTTGCTTAGAAATACTGAAATGACTTTTCTGTTGTTGGTGTCTGGTTAGCACAGCTCAAGAAATCTACTGTGGTTAAGTCTTAAAATAATTAATGCCCTCCTAATGTATAAAAGAGTTGTATCCAAGGGAAGTTTTACCTGATTTCTCTATCATTACCCACTTGAATACCTTCATTTCCCCTCTCATGCTGCTGGAACACTGATTCTTCTTTAATTTTAAGCAAGTTCTTGACCTGCTTATCTTTGCATGGCGCTCTTCCCATACATCAAGCTAGGTTTGATGTCTTAATTATGTTACCCCTATAGCTGGCTGGAAGCATAACAGTTTTGAAGCATCTTCATAACTTGCTGGGGGGAGCAGGTGAAGACAGGCTGGACTGAACAGCTTTATGCTCTTCATGGCAGCCAGCCAGCCTGTTCATGCCTCCCTACCAGCTCTCTGGTGCTCACTTTGGGTGTCAGAGATATAGAAGGGGGTTGGCTAAGGTTTTGGTGTGAGAGGAGGGTCACTGAAGATGGACACATCTCTGTAAGAGTGTATTTCATTAGTTCAGCGGCACATGCAGTGAGTAGTTTCAGACCCGCTATGGTATTTTCCCTTGCAGCCATTGCTTCTGAAATTCAAGTTTGTACATTCAGTGCATTATCAACCATGATATCTCTTCTTTGAGGTTTTTCTGCACAGAATTTGTTTCTTCTGAAGAACCTGCCTTCACTGAATCGTTCTTACGTAAAGGCGGCATTTGAGGTCTGTTTGGTTATTGCGTTACCAGACAGAATGACCAGCAGCAGCAGGACAGAGGAGCGTTTCTAGAAAGCCAATTGATCCAAACACTCAGTTAAAAACAAACAAAAGAAGGAACTGCTCACCAGTAAAGTATTACTTAAAAAAAAATAAATAAAATATTGTAGTAGGACAGACTGGATTTGGGAGATAACTGTCAGCAGCTCAGCTGTGCATCAGTCCATACATCACTCTTTATACCCTTGTTTTTAGGTAAGGCTGAAGAGCTGCATTGCAGAGAGTGATTTTACAATAATAATACTCCCCTAATATTTTTTAAAAAGATACTGTCAGAAGCTGTGCCTGGCTTGTTAGTCTGAACTTTCATGGAGTCAAGTATATTGACAGTGGTTTTTAGGTAGAGAGTCACAGCTTCTGTTGGATGGGAGACCCGGAGGGACTTTGCACTCAGCTTCTGGAGTGCCGAGGGGACTTTTAGTTTCTCTGCAGTTGTCTATCAGGCAACCAAAAACATTTTGAAATTATCCCTTGCAGTCTGTGGTGCTGTCTCAGAGCTTTTTTTCTCAGTCGTTAGTGCTGGCAAAATGTTGTCTTCATCTTGAGCAATGCTTTAAAATGGATCGTGAGGCTGAAATTGTCTTTTTCATTGGGAGGTTTCTATACATGGACCTGCTGTATGGAGGTTTGGACCAAGCACAAAGTATCAGCACTTGCTATTTTTATTTTTAGGCGGACCTGCTGTATGGAGGAGGTTTGGACCAAGCACAGAAAGAATCAGCACTTGCTATTTTTATTTTTAGGCATGCAAATACACTACATTCTTAGTGCTTCGCATGTTACCTCTTCCCCGAAATAGTGGTGTTTTCTGTTCTTCTGTGCTTTTTGCCAGTGCGGGCTTGGTACCTGGAGTGATATTCTCCATGCTTAGAAGTGAGGACAGTATTTAACGTAATTGTTTGATGTGATCAGGAACAGACTAATTTTCCTTCTGCTGTTATGTAATTGTGTACAGTTTAGTGAAAAGGCTAATATATTAAAAGAATACTGCTGCTGAATTAAAATGTCACGTTTAAGAATGCCCCTGGAAATAGAATTCATAGTCTTTGCTTATACATGGCGATAGCACAGACCCGCTAAAAGCATTTCTCGGCTGAGATGCAAATGCACAGAGCATGGGGAACAAACAGGAGGAGCTTTAGATGTGTGCGTGCCTCCAAGGCTACAATCTCATTGGTATTGCGAAAACTTGGTGGGATGAATCCTATGACTGGAGTGTTGCCGTGGAAGGCTACAGGCTCTTCAGGAGAGACAGGCAAGGGAAACAAGGAGGTGGTGTTGCCTTATATGTTAACAAGCAGCTGGAATGCATGGAGCTCAGCCTAGGGATGGATAAAGAGCCAACTGAGAGCCTATGGGTCAGGATTAAAGGGAAATCAGGAGCAGGGGACATTACAGTGAGGGTCTGCTACAGGCTACCCGACCAATAAGGACAAGTGGATGAAGCCCTCTATAGACAGATAGGGGTGGCATCACAGTCACAGACCCTGGTCCTCATGGGTGACTTCAACCACCCTGACATCTGTTGGAAGGGTAACACAGCCAGGCATAGGCAATCCTGGCGGTTCTTGGATTGCATTGAGGACTTCCTTCTCCAAGTGGTTGAGGAGCCAACGAGGAGAGGAGCAATGCTGGACCTTGTCCTTATCAACAAGGAGGGACTGATAGACAGTGTCAAACTCAAGGGCAGCCTGGGCTGTAGTGACCATGAAATGGTTGAGTTCGAGATCCTCTAGGCAGTGAGGAAAGCGCGCAGCAGGCTGACCACCCTGGACTTTGGGAGAGCTGACTTTGGCCTCTTGAAGAAGCTGCTTGGTATGGTGCCGTGGGATGAAGCACTGGAGGGAAGAGGGGCCCAAGAAAGTTGGTTAATATTCAAGGACCGCCTCCTCCAAGCTCAGGGGCAATGCATCCCTACAAAGAATAAGGCAGGCAGAAAAGCCAGGAGGCCTGCATGGATGAACAAAGAGCTCCTGGACATGACCAAAAGGAAAAGGGAGGCCTATAGGGAGTGGAAACAGGGGCGAGTAGCCTGGTAGGAATACAGAGGAATCGTTTGAGCAGGCAGGGATTGGGTTAGACAAGCTAAAGCCCAGATAGAACTACATCTGGCCAGGGACATCAAGACAAAAAAAAAAATAAAATCCTTCTTTAAGTATGTCAGCGAGAAAAGAAAGACTGGGGAAGATGTGGTCCCTCTCCGGAAGGAAACACAAGAGCTGGTTACCCAGGACAGAGACAGAGTTGAGGTACTCAATGACTTTTTTGCCTCAGTTTTCACTGGCAAGGACTGCAGCCACACTGCCCATGATGCAAAATGTAAAGGTGAGGATTGGGAAAGTGAAGAACCGCCCACTGTAGGTGAAGATCAAGTGCGAGACCACCTGAGGAACCTGAAGAGAAGGACCTG